GGATCGTAGTTATTTGTTACTCTCTAACAAAAATTATTGTGGTTCACCAATGCGGCCGCCGTCCCGGAACGACTCGGATGGTGAATGGTCGAAATGTATAGTGACATACGATAGACCTTTTTTGTCCTTGCATTGTTAATGGAAATAGTTATAACATCGCCGCCGGTGCTTGCACAAGGACGGAGCGCCTACGACACCCTAACTACATATGTATCTGCCCACTCACTATTCATGGACTGCCATCCATGCATGCAGGGCGCATGCTACACAGAACCCGCTTCCCAGAACTTATCCAAGGTATCCGTCTACGCTCAGGCCGCCCAGCGCGACCGTCTGTCGGCCTTTGGGGTCCTCCTGGCTGGTGCGCCTGTCAGCAACATGACCTATCTCACTCCCAGATGGGACTCACTGAACATGACCACCATCAGCAACCTTAACTTCAGCAAGACGCAGGCGAATGGTACCAGGATCTGTCTTGAGCTGTTCAAGCCTACCACCATCAACGAGTTTTGCGAACGAGAGGGCGCGTCAGGATCGTTCTGCTGGTGGGCTCTATACTCATTATTATCCATTTTATTCATTCACTTTATTTATTGGTTGCGTTTTATTTCTCTGCTATGCCTTTTATTATTATTATTATTATTATTATTATTATTATCATTATTATTATTATTGTTATTATTAAATTATTATTATTATTATTATTAAATTATTATTATTATTATTATTATTATTATTATTATTACTTGGAGAAGTGTCAGCAGCAGCAGGTTCATACGCAGTCAGGGTGACCGGCTCATTTCGATGACTAGCTAGCTATAGCCAAGAATTTGTTATATCACGTCTTTTTCAGAAAAAAAGAACCGATCAGCGGATGTCAGATGCCGTGATACTACAGGATACTACAGAGTTACCAACCAGGGGGTAGGCAGGTAGTGAATGCCAGAAATATTATCTGTGTATTATCCATACTACTATCTATCTATCTATTGCTGTTTGTGTTCCAATATGTAAGATATACTTACACTTTTATTTTTTATGTTTTTACGGCATGCAGGGTTGCCCTGTTTAATGACAACAACTGTGTACCGCCTAACTCAACTGTGGTGATCTCTAAGCGCCTGTGCTGCCCAAGATTTCAGTCTTTCCTGTCCCCGTGATGATATTATTGTCATGATGGATGATGTGGAGGCTGCCTGACGTTAAAACCCTAAGTAATAATAATGATGTCATGACGTGGCCTTTATTTTCTGCATATGCAGGGAGGAGTGGTCATTGATGGAACGCAAAAAATATTAATTCGTACTATCCTCTTATTATTCATTCATTATTATCATTTATATAACATGTGTTGCTTAGATATTATTCATTATTTCTAATCAGGGTATTGTGTATGGTCAGGTTTTTGCGGGCGCCTGTGAATTTTATACCTTTCATTCGCTTTAATTTTATACCTTTCATTCATCACTGATGTGGCTGCTCCGATATATACTAGATTCGATGAATGGAATGGTATGTATGTGTATGTCTGGTGCTGTATA